GCTAAATTAATTATAGTAATTAGCATATAATTAAGAAAAGACTTAGAAAAATAATGAAAAAGAAAAATTACAGAGAAGTTATAGTATTGTTACATAATTTCACACTTATACAACATGCAAAAATAAAAATTCTAACAGAATAGTCATTCTTGTTGTCCAAGACAGGTAATCTATTATATATAAGAAATTGGTATCCAAAAAAATAATGTATATAAATGGATTTTACATATAAACACATGTTGCCTTATCTCTAAGCTTTGAAATAAAGACAAAAACAAATAACTTGATTCATAAAAACAAAAATAAATAGAAAAAGTAAAGCTTCTATATGAATTCATTGTTAGTTCTATCTTATATTATTTTTTTATTTAATTCAGACAATTTAATCTAAAATATATATATACATATTATTCTTTTTAAAACAATTCTTATTGTCTCTGTCTTTATTAGCATAATCTATAAAGTTAAATCTTAAATATTTTTGCAAAACCAATTTGAACCAAATGTTCATGATCAAACTTGTTTAGCATATATTGTAAAAAAAAATCCAAATTCTTAAAATAGATAAAGATCCATTTAATAAATTTTATTGTTTAATAATAATACAAGTATTAGTTATATTAATCTAATATATAACTAGGAGCAAACAAATAAAAAAACTATATATAAAAATTCATTGTTTTCATTTCCAATTTACAGCAATCATGATAATTCATGATGCAGACTTTTTTATCTATGTCAAAGTTTGACAAAACATATGTTTATTCAAATCCTAAAAATACTTACTAATGTTTTATTAATGCATTTGCCTACTACAAAATGGCATCAAGTAGAATATCATCAATAAATAAACAAGCTATATATAATAAGGTGGCCACAGAATGGCATTTTGTAAAAAAAAAAAAGAAAGAAATTAAAAAAAAAATTAGAGAGTACTTAACTACTTTAGTTCAATTGCACAGCTATATAACAGTTTTCACTACTAGTAGGCAGCTTTCTCTACCTCCTTCCAACCAATCATTTTAACAACTTCAGTTACAAGGTTCTTTTAGTTCTTTTTCATTTGAACCAATTCGCAATAATGCAACAGCACAAAAGCAAGCTTATAATACTATAGAAAGGTTAAAAAAAGAATTAGATGAACTAAATTTAATGGCTTCAATAACAACTAATCTTTAGCTTCATAATGACCTTAGTTTATGGATAACTGCAGTTCAAAAAGATATAAAAAAAGAAGAAGATTGACTTAGAAATCTTAAAAGGCATGCATATAACCAACAAAAATCTCAAATAAAAAAGCTTAAAACACTCAAAGATGATAATATAGTCATAAGATATGATTCTTCTGGACATCTGCTTCTTCTATTGCAGCACCCAAATCTTCATAATCAAATCCACAGTTGCATAGAATTTGGAAAAGTTGATGAATGAAGAAGATGCAAAATTATTAAAGTCAGAACAGTAAATCATCTTCAAAGTGCTTTAGAGAAAAATTACAACATATACATGGCTTGAACAACTATGAGAAACTACATCTTATCCTAGTTAAACTGTAGTTTAACTGCAAGAACCCATCACCATTCTACTCTTGTTGGAGTCATAGATGTTTCAAGAGATGAAAGGAGCAACCATTTGAATGGGCATTACTGTCTTGCATCTGTCAAGAATGCAAGACAATTTGTTGAAACTTTTGCTATTTTTCTATAGTGCTTTCTTAAGATAATAAGGTGAAGGTTCCAGTCAGTATTCTAGCTGTGGGAAAACATTTTTGAACTATGCAAACTATTTATGAACCCATTTTCATTGCTGACTATAATTTCCCTATTGGTCTATTCCAAAAATTAACACCATTAGTATATTTAGCAATAAACTCTAATGAATCAAATGAAACTCAGCAAAATGGTCAGTTGGCAATCTTTATTCAGACTCAATGGCATATTGGTTCTTCATCTACTTCACATATAATAGTTCTCTTGTCTTTAGTAGGTAATTAAGAATAACAAAATTTTTTCATTATGTACAGTCAACTATCAATATAACAGACATATATATAACAAAAATAATATTTAAAAATCTATTATGAATATTACAGTATTAGTAAAAAAATATATAATGGATTTTTAAAAATTTTTTATTAATTCCATTATAGATATTTAATTACAATTAAAACAGGTGATAATTATAAACTTAATATTCCAATATACTTAACTATTTAAACTTTAATTATCATCTGTTTTAAATCATAAAAAAAATAAAGTAATCTTTTTTTTTTTTTTTTTATCATCCTTATTGATAATGAAGATTTTGCTGCAATTTTTAAATGTAATGAAGTGGTCAAGCCATTATGAGTTATTCTTATGCATGGTGGGCCCAACAAGAACTCATGTTATTTAAAAAATATCAATCAATATTGTAAACTATTTCAATATTTATATTTGGATTACATGACAATTAGAACATACACATCTGGCCAATCGTCTTATAATCCTATAAAGAAAAGTATGATGACACTTTCAGAAAAACTTGCTAAAATTATATTAAAAATTAATTATTTTGAGAACCATCTAAACTTACAAAGAGAGATTTGTAATTATGAATTGGAACTTTGTAACTTTCATTATGCTGGTTAGGCCCTTGCTGATTTGTGAAAAAAAGACTCTATCCATGGCAAACCTGTTTATGCCGAGTATATTAATGAAAAACAAGATCCATTTATCAATATTAAATTTCTATCAGAATTCAAAACAACTAATGTGCAGAGTGCAAATGAAGATAAAATATTTGTACCTTGGTCATGGGTGAAATCTCACTATCAAATTTGCTGATATTTATTAGATATTAAAAAATGCAATAATTTATCCTGTTGTACTTCAAAATGAGCTATTGAAGCAGCTGCATTTTTAAATAAAAATAATGGCTTCTTATCTTCAGTAATTAAGGAGAAAGATGGTTACTATCTTAATGCTATACACATGCTTCAATATTTTAACAACCTAAAAATTCCTGCATATGATTTACATCTTTCCTCCCTCTCATCTGAGAATCATTCAAGGTAGTGCTATAAAAAATATAGAAAATACTTCCCTACAACAACTATGATTGTAAAGCATAAAAAAACTATTCATTTCAATTTACAAAATTGATGTTAAAGTCAGAAATCTCAAACCAACTCAGCAATCTTGAACGATTTTTCTTTGCTGCCTTCATACTCTAAAATGTGGCCAAAAGTTGTAGTTGTGCCAACTCAATCTTTTTCTGATACCGAATAAGTATAAGTATGTAAAAAATGTTAAGATAATTAGTAAATGCAAATTTAATATGACATATTAGTATATGAATACATAAGAAAGTCTATAATAAAGCTTATAAGACCCTTTATAAATAAAAAAAAATCATGTTATGGGGTGTAGTGAAAGTCAGGTTATACACACAAGAGAAAGGTGTAGCCAAAAGTCAGGTTATACTAAGGAGTATCAGGTTATACTCAGAGGAAGGAGTGTAGCCAAAAGTCAGATTATCACATTTTATTTTAATTGGCCAAAGGGGATGTCAGATTACTACATTTCATTTTAATTGGCCAGAAGGGGTGTTAGGTTACTACATCTCATTTTAATTAGCCAGGAAGAGTGTCAAGTTACTATATTTCATTTTAATTAGCTGGAGGGTGTCAGGTTATTACATTTAATTTTAATTGGCTAAAGGAGGTATCAGATTATCATATTATATTTTAATTGGCCAGAGGGGGTGTCAGGTTACTACATTTTATTTTAATTGGCTGAAAAGGGTGTCAGTTACCACATTTTATTTAATTGGCTGAGGAAAGGTATCAGGTTACTAGTTATCATATTTTATTTTAATTGGCTAGAGGGTGTCTAGTAACTCACATTATATTTACATTATACAAACTTCTATATATGCACCTGTATTTATAGAAGGCATGCATTTAAAAAGAGAATGCAATTATAGAGGTATGCATTTATAAAGTGTACATATATGGAGGTTTGTATTTTAATCTTATAGTATATTTAATTGGCTATAATAACTAGCACCCTTGATATGCTAAAGATCTTTTTTTATTCAATTATGTTTATATCTGTTTTCATAAATTCTGGAACACCTGGATATATTTTACTGTATGTGCAAAATTTATGATACTTTCAAATATATTAACTAGCTTATCAATTCGAAAAGATTCTTGGATGTATTAAAAAAACTTCTATATTTTCAATAAATATTTTTAAACTAGTTGTAAAATGCTTATTATAAAAATTTATAAAGATTTATCAATTGATAAGATTAGTTTTTTCTATAAATTTTTATATTGTATAAACAAACACAAATAAGCTGTTGGCATCATATACTGTCTATTAAATTAACTTGTCTATAAATTAATCATCTGTAAAATAAATGTGTCTAGAAAATGGATGTCAGTAAAATTTGGTATTTTTGAAGTAATTGTTGATGAGTTGATCAGAACCAACCCAGAATACCTATATAGCATTTGTTAATTATGCTATAATTATTGCTACACAGATGATACAGTTTAATTTTCTGCAAATAATACAAGATATAAATTTGAATCAATCAGTAAAATCAAGATATATGTATAATATTGCATTTAGCACTACATCTAGAAAGTACACCAGATTAAGATCTAAGTATATTTTTTAATACCATTAATTGAAAATTGTGATTTATTCTCAGATGAAAAGCAGGCTTGCAAGATACCTAAACCCAATAATGCAATCTTCTAACTAACTTAAGTTTCTATTTTAATAATAAAAAATGTCAATGTAATACAAACATATACAAATAGTTAAATAAGAAAATCAAATAAGATGTCTAAAAATTCCTCTTTATAAAAGAAAATTTTAAATTTATCTATGTATGTAATAGCTATCTATATGTTGATGATAAAAAATTGATCATATAAATAAGTTCGAACTAAATTGAAAATAACCAAAAATTGTGTATACTGTAGTTTTTTTTTTAAAAAAAAAAAATTTGTTACTTATCTTACTAAAATAGACTCTTTCAACTCAACTTTAAAACTTTCTAATACTTTTATTTATATCCATTTATTAGAAGGTTTCAGAATTAATGTTTTTTAAAAATAAGTGGAAGTTTAAAAGATCCTATTTTCTTTTTTAGAATTCCAAATCAGAAAATTAAATAGATATAAGTAGTGGTAAATTGGCTTTTTTTTTAATAAACATTCACCGATAAATGGTTATGTAAATAAGTACATACTTTAAAAAAATAGAGTTTGTATGTCTCTTCTTTTGAAATAAATACTCACTTATTTTATTTAAAATTGGACATCAAATCATTAATTCTGAAACCTTCCATTAGATCAACTTGAAATAGAATAGATTAATTAAGAATTAATAGTTTATTCTAAATGCCTCAATTGTCTAATTAGCACAAATAAATTATACTTGTTTATTTTAATTATCTCAAAATCAAAAAACTTATCTTTATTCATGAATGATTATTATTGACTATTGACACAAATAAAAAAAATATATCAGAAAAATAATACTATAACCAAAATTATTGACAAAGATTAAGTAATATAGGAAAATGATTATAGGATATTTACTAAGAACTGAGATTGCTTAATATTAATTCATGCTAGATAATAATACTTGAATATTGATCAATAACAATAAAAGAGAATTAATATTTAACATTAAAGTATGACAGCTGGCTCAACCTGGTCAACTGATTTTGAATTACTCAGATTATTAAAAATGGCCTGGTTGTAACTTGATAATAATCTTGAAAACAGTTGAGTAATCTGGAGAAGAGTATAGCAAGTAGAATATAGTAAAGTTTCGACTTTATAATATTTAATAGCAACTGTTAACTGTATACAAGATCTTCCAAAATAGTGGATTTAGATGCACTGTTACTAGATCTAAAGCTGTAAACTAAGACAGTTTGTGATTTCTATCTAAATTTGAGCTTGGGTATTGATTGCATATTCCAAATCTTAAGAACCAATCAATTATATAAAACAAACATAATACAGAATAAAACAAGCATAGTGTATGTGATAGTGCAAGGGAATCACTAGACAATAACAATTTATTTGCCTTATAATTTGCCGAATCTAGTAAAAACCTTTGGAAATCTACTAAATTCCAAACTGTTAGGTTTGGTTTACATTACTAGTGCAATCTATTGCTATATTGTAAATATGAAGTGTATATGCACTTACAATTTAACATAACATATATATGTATCTATTTGGATATCTTATTGTACTTATATATTTATAATCTGACTTTTAACTAGACCCCCTCACCTCCTAAATAATCAGATGATTAATAACACCTTCCTAAGCTGCTTGTCTAATTACTTAAAGTTCATAATAAAAGAGTCTTCTCTCTTTTATGACAAGCTCTAACATTGTCTTCATTACTTCCTTCTCAACTTGCTTCCTTTTTCTTTTATTTTTTATTTTTTCTTTTCTCTTTCTTTCTGATTTGCCTTATCTCGTTTTCTTGGTTCCTTTAAATTTCTATTTTTTTTTCTTTTAGTTCTACTTGTTATTTCACTCTTTTCCTCCCATTAAATGATTTTTTCACAACGTATTCTTTATACTTGTTCGTAGAATGTATCTCAGGCCATTATTGCTACTGTATTTGCAAACTGCTGTCTTGATTTTGTGTTTAATAACTTCGCTAGTTTGTCTTGTATTTCTTTTGGAATTAAGTCTTTTATTAATGCTTCTATTATTTTAACTTTCTCTGTCTCTGTTTTTTTGAAGAGCACTGTATACAACATATGTAGGGAATCTGAATTTTTTCATTTTCCTTTAACTTCTTTCATGCTGTTGCAATGGTTACTTTTTGGATTCTCTTCCAAAGATTTCTTTGCTCTTTATATACTGCCAAGTGTGCTTATATCTCTTTTACTTTATCTTGGCATACTTGGCATTCTACTGTTGTATATATATCTGACCTCCTTCTGTTAAGTTCTTCTAATGTTAAAAGTTTATCTATTATGCACTTAATAAACATACTTCTTCTCAAGCTGCTTCTTCTTGTTGTACAGTATATTCTCTTAGTCATGTTTAGTCTTTTCTAAAAATAAGTTCAATCATAAATTGTGATTTCTGCTTCGGCTCTAGGCTTTTAATTGTTCTTATTTCTTTCTACTTTGCTTCTAATCTTGCATTCATTACTAACTTGCAAAGCAGTCTTGCTGGTATGTCAGTTCTTCTGCTTTCCCATTCTAGGCAGTACTCTATTTCTTTACAACTGACTCTTTTGGCCTGTACTATTTTCCTACTTATTGTTTTCTTTTTTGCTAAACTATCAGCTCTATCATTTTATTTATTTTTATTATGACCTTTAACTTTAACTAACTCTATCTGAATGTTTTTTATCTTGACAAGGTCTTTAATCTTCATTATCCATATTGCATTCTTCTTCTTAATAATCTTGTTTCTGTTTACTTGTTTTAGGCTTCTACCAATATTTCTTATTACAACATTACTATCTGTATGTATTTCTAATTGCTTTTCTTTAGGTATCGTTAGAATTGCTGCCCAAATTGCTACCAACTCTGCTATTATTGATGTTTGTCATCCTTCTAGTTCAAATGCTACTTCTTCTTCTGGCCATTCTTGTATTTTATTTGTTTGGACCCATCCTATACTCATATCATTCGTAGATATTGGCTCTTTACTATCTCTTTTATTGATTACACCATTAGTATATATTATATATTTGCTCTTGTTTCTTATAATGTTTTTTTTGGAATTTCTATTATTTCTTGAATAATATTTTCTTTCAATTTTTGTCATTTGATAATT